ATACCGGACTCTCTTCTTTCCATTTTGTCTCGGCCTTTTGTAGCTGTGCCAACAGTTCTTGGCAGATATCTTCACACTTACCGCGGTCGTAATTGAAGAATAGCGCGGGGAGAGCATTCTGAGCGTGTAGCGAGGAGATCAAAGGGAGGGTTGTGTCGAGCAGGTTATCGTTCTGTGTATCAGATAGGCCATTCATCCGAGATACCTGTTTCGACAAGTCCTCTTCTTTTTCGACTGCGAACCCTGCTGGGTGGTCAAGCTTGACCAAAAGTGTCTCAAATGGAGATTCTTGGTTCTTCATCCACTCTCCCAACACCTTTTTCAGTTGTTTTTGCCATTCTATGATGTGCACCTTTTGAATGACAATATTCGAGAAAAAGATGGACGGGTCCAGAGATGGGTCAACGGGGAACTGCTTTGTTTGGAGATCATTCATTGCTTTCCACAAAGTGAAGCAGTCACGTGGCTCAAAGTCAAGATCATCTGGGATCGATCTGGAGCGGTCCAGCAGGCTGGTGACAGGATGCACGAACGTCATATCATCTGCTCCCTCTAGGCCCAAACGGGCCAAGCTAGGAGTGCTGGAAAACCCTTTGAAGGAGAAGTCACCAGAAGGCTCGTACACGTACTTTCGCAGATCCGAATAACGGTGCTGATGCTGGATCATCTTGAGGTCGAATCCATTGGTTTTCTGAGCAAGGTCTAGCCAGTTGTAGAATTCCTGGGGATTTCCGACGGTAGCCGAGAGGGCGATAATTGGGCATGGGGACATCAGAAGCAGTTGTTCCCAAACGACACCATCCTCAGCCTGACCGATGCAATGAATCTCATCAAAGATAATACGTCTCAAGCGGGGAGTCCATGCATTGGCGTTCGAGGGATTAAGCAGCATGGTCTGAAGAATCTGGGGAACCGTGATGAGAATTTGGCATCCCTGGGGATTATTGATGCGGTAATCTCTTGTGTGGATGGCCCAAACGGACTTTCCACTGGTTTTGGCTGGGAATGATTTGGAGAATCGAGCTTGCACCTCGGCAGCGATCTGATTAACAAGAGCCTTTGTGGGGGCAACATAAACAAGAATTCCATCGTTATCTTCTTTCAAGATCTGTCTCATCGCATAGAAACTGACGAATGTTAGCATGATTCTGAACCAGGAGGTATTGCCACTTACGAGATGAATGTTTTTCCTGCACTCGTTGGGGCCACGATGAATGCGCTCTTCTTTGCATCAATCTGGTCCAACACTTCACGCTGCCAGCGATCGGGCGCAAAATCAGGCGTTCGGGAGTCGGGCATTGAGTCAATGCTGCGCTCCATGAAGGGCCCACCGTGTTGAAGCTGGAATTCAACTGGGCTCATCTCGATACTCATGCTAGGTGCTGCTTTAGGGATCTTGAACGATGGGAAAGATAGTTTCTGGTCACTATCGGCATGAAGCTGAGCAGCTGGCAAACCAAGTATTTGACAGACTGTCGAGACATATGTGACAATATCGGATGAGATGCCTTGCTTGATTTTCGCAAGAGAAGTGACAATCTCCCAAACGCGTGTCACAACCAACATGTGCTTTTTACTCTGCACATTTGTGCGTTCAACAAAGAGAAGGCGTAGCAATGTATCGATCATGCAAGTCAAAACTTCAGGCTCCAGAACTTGTCGACTGTCTTTGGGCAGACTGGTCAAGTATCCGTTGAGCTTTGTAAAACGAGTCACAAGATCATCGATGAGAGCGAATTCGTCATTATACACATTCTTCCACTTTTGTCTCTGTTTTTGGGTCACCTCCATTGCTTTTTGATGAACGAATGCTGCGGCCATCTCTTTAGTGGATGGTTTACCAGACTTGGAATGAGATTTCTTGTCTGATTTTCCTACGTCTCTGCTCGCCGGAGGGGTTTGGTGAGACTTCTGGCGTGCACTACTGCCAGTTTCAACAACGATCGGCTCCGGCTGTGAATTTGAGAGACTTGCAGCATAATCTCTCATCTCGGCCATAAAACGCTGGTTTCGTTTGTGGCTTCGCTCAACCTCTTGGGGTGTTAAAATGACTTTCTTTTGATCAAGGGGCTTGGAGCTATGCCAGTGGGTGTCTTCGTTCTCCTTGGAAACCTGGCTATCACTCGATCTATCAACTGCGAGGTGAACAGGCTTCAGAAGATTATCGAAGACTGCATTGCTGAATGGAAGCACCTTTTCAATGCCATGAGGCTTGGAGATACTTCCATGAGTAGCATCCTCAGAGCCAGCTTCGGCTCCCCCAACCTCTTCGCATTGTAGTGTTGTACCGCAAATGCCGTCCAACAGACACGCAAGGGTGTTGAACTGGGTTTGTGTGACCGATGAGATTAATTTTTGGATGCCCAGTTTCTCGACCATCCGCTGGACTTCGAAAAACAATGTTCCATCCACGAGGTCAGAAAGATCGCAAAGTAGGTTATGGTCGTTCATTGCTTTATTCCAAAGCTTCGAGCCTAGCAAAACCTTTGCCGTTTTCACAAACTCGTTGAAAAATTTCGAGTTTTTAGGTGCAGTGGTTTGAATTGATCGATCCGACAGTTGGGTGTTTTGCAAAAGTGCAATGTGCAAAAGCATAGACTGTGCTTCAATCTTGTTCTCGAGCTTGTCCGCCACGCCGCCCAAAAACATGGAGCTGAGCGTAGCAACCACAAGACATTGGCGCTGGGACAGCCCAGGCTGCTCAAGTGCCTGTTCAAGAACCTTTTCTGTTTGAGCCTGGTTGGACGGTTCGTTGTTGACAGAGTCATATTCCAGCGCATCCTCTTGGCTGTCTTCAATCTTTAATTGAGTGAGGGAATTCCACAAGTAATTGGGATCAGTCTTGTTTTGACTGAGCTTATTATCGTCTGTCTCAGGGCCAGTTGGCAAGGGATTTGTTTTAATGGAGCTTTCAATCACCATTGCCATGACCTGCGCATAGTGTAAGTATCAAACCCAGTCTACCGGGGGTCAGAAAACCTTACCTTTGTGTCACGGAACTCGAGAGTATTGAGCAGAGCAAGGTTGTATCCGTGGACAACAAACCAGTAGATCATGGTGCGGAGCTTAAATCTTGAGATCTCGCCACGCTTATCGATAAGGGAAGCTTTGTTATCGCCATCTTCGAAGTCGCTGCTATCAGAATCACTTTCAGAATCGCTGCTATCGATATCACTAGCAGTATCATCCCCGTGGTCGGAAAAACCGCCGTCATGACACATGAACAAATATGCCCCCGAACTTATCAGATGAGCTTTGAACTCATCGGACTGGAAGCTGTCAAACCTCAGAGCTTGGAAGAATTGTGATGGTTGGACGCGGACAGAAACAAGATGCTGTATGATTGCCTCTCGGGCAAGGAGGTACCTCGGGTGGAGGTCTCTGTGAACTCCTTTGGGAATACATAATGGGGCATTCTCGGCGAAAAAGACAACCTCAAAGAAACACTTCCGTTGTTGAAGCTTTTGTAACAACTTCTCGGCAAGATAAGTCGCATGCAAAACCTGGAAGCCCGGGCTGAAGTCAAGTTTCTCATTAGAAAAGCATTGGAGTAGAAGCGAATCTCCCTCGATTATGAAAAGCTCGTCACCAACAAAGTCACCGACGAGATCGACGACTCGAGAGTCTAGGTTATTGTACCTTCGAAAATTAGTAAAAACGAGCTAGTCCCAGCTAGAAAACCACTGCTCACCAGTCTAGCACAACATGGCGATCCATTATGTTCTCAATATTTCGATAGTTCGATAGTTCGATAGTTCGCCTAGATGGCTAGATATAGACGGTTAGTATCAAGATTGGATTGATATTCTGCACGAATATGAGCCGGTAGGCCAAGCCAAGAGAGCAAGGAAGAGGGAGGAGGTAGAATAAAAGGTTGGGAAGGAAAAATATGAGCAAACGGTCAAAAGGAGGGGCATGAAACAGGATATATTATTGCGCGTTCATTCAATGGCTCGAGATCCAACAAACAGCTTACCTAGGATATTCAGTGTGATAGAACTTTGACTCTTTTATTTTCTATAATCTGGCGTAAAGACAGTAGAATATTGGAGTTGAATTATTTCGGGTTACAACAGTGAAGGGATTTCGGGCAGAAAAGTCGATGACCGCCTTCTCCAGTATACGATATACGGGCATACTACATCGATCAAAACGGAGCAACCATCCGGTGAAATAAGGGCGTCTAATAAGCTTGGCGTGTGTATTTTTTTTGGGGGGTGTTTGCCCCCACACTGTTGGCTTTAACCTCATTTTACTTCCGCCTTCCAAATAGTAATTGCCGATAATATCTCGGTATATTGATCTAATGGGAGCTTTGTCTATATTCAAAGTAAATTGTTCATTTATTAATATTCAGAAAAGGCTCCAGAAAAGAGAGGTATCTAGCTGGTTGAATATCATGTGCGATTCAATGCATCTCTTCTGGGTTTTATGTATCAAAATGCCTGGTTATTGTAGGCAGATGATTACATTAATTTCATGAGCAGGTGGTCAATTTTCTGCTAGCAATAAAAGCCAATAGGAGAAAAGTCCCGAGTGGCCGCTATGCACTGCGATATTGGATTAAAGCCATATGCTGTATAACATACGGGCATGCATCCAGCATCCGAAGCGTAAACCCCAAAGCTTTACAAATCTCACAGAGTATGCTAAGTACAACATTGCCCAAGAGCAGCAGAGCTTCACAATAAAGAATTATTGACAATACTTCCTATAAAGCCAGCCCATCCCCCTTCCAGTATCGTCTCTTGCATACCAAGGGAGCAATGAGGGCAAGAGGGCCTGTCCAGGGAACCCAGTCTAAGTAGAAGGTCACATTTTCGGACATAACATTTGAAATATTATTTGAAGCAGGTTGGGATCCGTAATACGGAGAGAGACTGCAATATCGGTGAGTTCAAGTTCTACCCACCGAAGTAAGATAAGCAGAGGAGAGTACATACAGTTTCTTCCACTGGCCTTGGTCTTGAGGAGAGCATACCGAGGTATCATTACAAAGTTCATAAGCCACATACAGCCGAAGTTAAAGGAAGTTTCACCACCCCGGTAATACTCCAAAGCACCAGCGCGGCTCGGCACCAGCGCACAATGGTATCAGAAAATTCATAGGCAGCAGGCTCACGGCTGTCGTAAGAATGTCCGCGGCTGCTAGGGATAGGTCTAAGTCTGTCGTTACTTAGGAGGCATAGAATCCACCAGGCGGCAAGCAAGATGACAGTATAAATCAGAACAAGGATGGGTATGTAGATTTGAGGCCGAAATAAAAAAGAGTTCTCTTCGGTGAAACATGGAATGACGCTTGTATCGGGGTCTTTTCGGCGGGCTTCATGGCGGGCCTCATGGGAGTTCAGTAGAGCATCTAGATACTTGGATCCTCGAAGCTCCTCATTGGGCGAGAGTGTATTCGATACCATTTTGATGCGAAAAATGTACCTTCTATTGTAGTAATACGAACCGGGTGGGGGACATGGCCTTTATTTCTGCACACAGTGGACATATTATCGATTTGCCATTGCATATAAACGCATAAACCACATCCTTTTGGGCCCATGGAATACGGCTGAGTGATGGAAATCCCTCCAGCGCTCTTTACCAAGAATCCGGGAGTGACCTGAGCATTGGTCTACTGAGAGACGCACATTTTAGGGGCCTGGAGGAAGGCTCATCGGCTTCTCCGTTGCTTTTTGAGGATGAGTACCACGTTAGCGTCACACGACCTGGGCGAGTGCGTGATACTTAGGATAGGATAAAAATCTGAGTGAAATCCATGTCCGCGCGACCACTGTAGCCTCCAGCTGGGCAGGAGTATAATATTATTGAGCTACACATTTAGAGAGAGAGAGAGAGAAAGAGAAGAGAAGCCATACCTTATAAAAAATACCTATGCTTAAGGCAACCTTCCTCTTAAGAGTTCCCCCCAAGCTCCTGCCTAAGTTCCAAGTCATACGAGCTAAGCTTCACACTAAGGTGTATGCGCTTATTGTACAAAATCCTCAACGCCAGTGCCCTTCATTGAAAATTTTCGCCAGCTATATTCATATCTTTAAACTTGATTTTTGTGCAAATGTTTTGCCAGGTGAGAATACCGCTTACCAAGCAGTGTGTCCTCCATCAATAAGCAGAGTGCTCCCCGTCATGAAGCTGCTTGCATCAGAAAGACAGAAAAGAGCCGTACCGCGGAACTCCTCAGGCATTGCCAAGCGACCAAGCATGTTCTCCGCTTCCCAAGTAGCCCTAGCAGCGGGATTTTGCTTGAATACCTCGTCCACCATCGGCGTGATGATGTGGCCGGGGCACAGACTGTTGACACGAATGCCATGACGACCCCATTCCATAGCGAGAGAACGGCTTAACTGGATGACCGCCGCCTTGGACGAGTTGTACACGGGTGAGGTCATGCCCTTGTTGGCAATGAGGCCGCTCATGCTGGCTACTAGTAGGATCGAACCCTTCTGTTGGTATTTGAACATCTGGCGGGCCGCAGCGGTGGCCGAGTTAAACACTCCATTATAATTAATCGACATCACGTCGTCCAAAGCCTGCTGGGAGTGCTCCAGTGCGCTTTGGAGGTGGTTGATTCCCGCCGCGGCGATCAGACCGTCCAATCGCTCTCCCTTCGCTGCAATGGCTGCGAATGCATCATTGACTTCGGCGTTGTCGCGTACATCAATGCGGATGTACTCCAAACTGCTCCCAAAGTCGTCCTTGGCCCTTTGCTGGGCAACGAGAAAGTCTGGATGTGGAGATTCGAGGCGGTCCAGACAGTACACTGGTTATTTGATATTGCGTTAGCATGCGTTCATTTTGACATTGAAGGAGGAAACGAGATTGTAAGTACCTGTTGCCCCGGCTTCGATCAATGCTTCTGCCATTGATAGCCCTAGTCCTCGCCCACCGCCGGTGATGGCATATACTCGGCCCTCAAGATCAAACTCGCTGAAACGGTGGTGGTTGCGCAAAAGCTCTTTCGCCGGCATCTTTGATTGGATGTGGTCCGGGCTGTGGGTTACATTGTGGATATCATGAGGGCTAAACGAGCTCTTGGAGGTCGAGTACAGGCAAGTTGAGGGGGAAAAGAGAGAACGGGGAGCAGTGGTGGCAACACCAGCTAGCCGTGTACGAGCGGGAGCCAATACTCGGGGAACAAAAGACATGGCGAAGGGACGGATTGGGGATATATATAATGGAAGGAAGAGGGGATAGTATTAACGTATTAATCTCGATAACTGCGAAACGAGAAGTAACAAGAAGGACTGGTACAACCAAAGAGTTCACGATATTCCATCTATGGCATCAGGGTGATAGATTTATATGTCTAGAGAGTTAGAACGGCACTTCCTTAGAGAGCCTACCGAGAACAATAAGATCCTGCATAAAGATTGACAGGAAAAAAATCAATTCCAGTTGCGCGTGACCGGGTGGATAACTGCTTTCGCCTTTACTTAGATGGACCCAGGTACTTCGGTTGACCGAGAACATCCACAGTAAGGCCTAAGCTTGCCACCGGACCTCTGATTAGCCATAGAGATGGGGATATCGGGGAAAGGGGGTCATACCGACATCCAGAAGGAATATCGTGACCCCTGGGCTGAAGACGGTAAGATTTCGATAGGAGCTTCGATGGAATGGCCCACCCGGCGGGAGTATGCACGGTTGTCCATCACAATTGATCGTCTGTGAATGTGATTGGCTTGGAATCTGTTTCTTTTTTTCCATGGCGATCTCCGATCTTGTTCCGGGTCGAGGGGCTGGACAGTTAGAGGAAGATCAGAAGATCCCGCGAAGCTGAAGCTCTCCATGCAGACGGGGAATGCCGGCCTCTTCCAATAAGAGACTCGGCATTAACGGCTAGTTGGACACGTAATGCATTTCTTATTTTCTTCGAAATGACTTCTGAATATTTTGAGGTATTCGAAGGCTCCAAATTCCACGGGGAAAAAATTGAGTGACAAGTGATTACTCGTCTTCTCCTTTCTCGGCGTCCCGGGCCCCTTGGGACCACCCCGAGTTCCACCTCAAATCCACCCGGGCCCCATCACGCAAGTTGTCCAGTCCCGAGCTTTAATTTTTGCTTTATTTTATTTTTAGGATGGAAGGAATGGACCACATGAGCTTAATGAAATCTCATACCAAGCCCGGGATTTCCTAATTCGGTAATCCTTTTTTACATCTCACACCGACTCCAGGGTTGTGAATCAGTTATGTGGAATCCTCCGTACTTCACTTTGAGATCTTTGGGTCTTTCTTTTGCACTGGTAATTGGCAAGGAACTTTAACGCGCTTTCTATCAAGCTTTCTCTATCGGGAACTAAAAGCTACTACGGAGTAATGTATGTACACACTGCATGCCCAGTCCACTCCATATGCTTTTTTGTGGTTTAATGAACCCGAACTCGCTATTGAGACCGCCTTTATAGACCCATTTCGCAAGCCCTAAACTATACATGTGCTCAAAATCCCGTTCCGACTACGGAATAGGCAGGGGCTATCGAAAGATCGAAGGTGATCTCGAACGTCTTACGGGCTGGCAAGCGTACTAAATTCAGGTTACCTGTCCCTTATGGAGTACTTCGTACAGATAAGGGATAAGTCCAGGCAGCCACACCTCATCAGTAATATGTACCCCGTTCTCCTGCCTTCAATGTTGGAATCTTTGTAGTTTGAATGCATTCACGAGGTTGTCATGATGAGACAGTGGGTCGAAATCTGGATCCATCCTCCGGGATTGAGGTCTAGTTGAGATTCAATCATGTATTTCTATCAATAAAGAGATAAACAATTCGATCTGCAGGGACACGGTGTAGGCATTCCTTCTCTCCCGCTTCTCTCCTACGACTGGTTTTCAAATGAACAGCCCGGCGGGCGGGCACACATGATCCCATCTCGTAGCAGTGAATGAACAAATTCGATTTCATGGGAAATGGCTTTGGGAAGACCGCCACAAGCAAGTAGTGCAAGAAAATAATATAAAAAAAACTCCCCTCCCCCCAACAGATCAATGTAATATTCAGACTCCTGTCAACCGTCCCAATTATCCGATGCCCTTGGGATAAAACGCCAATTTCTCGCCGGGAATGCTCGTAAACAATACAACAAAAGCAAAGGACCCATTGGTGTCCATGGGCCGCTTCAGTCATTATGGCATACCCGCGAAACCCGCAGTCGTCTCCGGTCCGAAGCCGCTGCGAAGACTGCCGAAATCTAGTTTCATGAGCAGACGATCCACGCCAGCTGCTTTGTGGGGCACGTAATGGCTGAAGCCGGGGCTCGTGCTGTCATCTTGGCGGGAACCAGGCCACATCTGACCGAAGTTCGTTGCTAGTCCTTCTCCCGAGCGACTATCGTCAATGTCCCGCAGGCTCCCAATGAGATTTTTAATGCCCGCCTCGACATCGTTTCGAGTGGCGCGCAGCTCTTCCCATACCTCGCGTTCTTCATGAGCATAATCTATCAAGGCGTCTTCCACACCTTCATCTGTTTCCAGATCCATGTTGCGTTGGATGGTTTCCAATCGGATCACAAGAGCGACAAAGCGGTCGATATGTGTGAGAAGTCCTCTCATTGTGTTTGTGAAGGGTAGTTCGGTCAAAAAGAGGGATTGCACCAGAGATGACAAGTGCCGACGGTGGGCAACCGTGAGAGCTTCGGGGTCATGTCGTCCCATGGTCTGCTGGCCAGACTCAGAGTCTCTGGTAGGAATCCGGTCGGAAGACACTGCCTTGGAACTGTGGTGCGATTTAAAAGAGGATGCGGTCCCAGGTCGGGATCCAGGGGCTGATGATGTGGACGAAGAGCATCCTTCAATCCATTGGCGAAGGTGCTGCCACGACTCATTTACGACGTCTCCTTGGAAAAAGCCACCAATCTCGGAAAGCATGAACAGACATGCGCTGGCCGTGGCCCAGATATGGCGCATTTGGCGAACACGAGTGTTATCTCTATCTCTTCTCGCCTTCAGCTTAGCTTGGCCAAACATACTGCTGCTCCTGGGTGGTCCCCAGGGTGTAGGGTAGTTCCGCCGCAACGGAGTCCGTTTCCAAAGATCTCCGAGCCGGATTTGAGCCCGCCGTATTCCTAGGAGATAGGAATGAATCTTAGAATATATCACAATATCAGAGCTCGAGATGAATAGGTCCAGAGGAGCTCGGATCTGTGCAGCGAGGCTTGTGGGCATGGGAAAGAGCAGGTCTTCAAATGAGACCTTTGAGATTTTGGATATTGAATCGGGAGTTTGGGCAGGGGTCATCGGTCGGCCACTTTTGCGGCCACTGATAGACAGACAAAGAAGCTCCCGGGCAAGTTCAAGCTCTTCGTCCGCCGGGTCCTCCTCTTTTTGTAGTGAGAAAAGCTCCGCCCACGTTTCAGCTAGAGCAGCCGTGACCTCACCTTCTTTGATGGTCAGAACGTCAAGTTTTCCCAAGGGACGGGTCGCTGATGGGCCTCGGCGCCGGCTTTCCTCAATTCGGGAATCTGCATGTGCTACAAGAGCCACCACAAACTCCCCTCGTCCTAGCAAAAGGAAATTGTGAAGCAAAGTAAGAATTTCGAGGATTTTCGGGAGGGGCAATAGTTTCGACAATGTTGATTGAGAAAGGGAAAGGCGAATGCAGTCAACGGCGGAAGTCAATTTTGAAGGCGAAATTGGTGGTTCTAGGCCCGCAAGTTGCTCGATATGCTCCCGGTATAGCGTCACCGGTGTAGTAGAGGTTCCTGCTATTGAGGTTTTCCGTTCCGCCCGAATATGATTGAGGGATTTGCCAATGAATAGTATTGAGCCTGCCGTTTGTGTCGTAACAAAAGTTGGAAGCAATCGGGCGTTGACGCTGAATTGTGCCTCGTCATTCGCTTTGTCGGTATCCTCCTGGATGAAAAAGTCTTCCTTCCCGTAGATAGGAAGTTTCCCATAGAGTAACCACATCGAAAGCTGTTTCATCCATGCTCTCTCAGCCGATGTCGCCAATTGCAGGGCCATCTCCTTGATATCAAGATATCCTGTTTGAGCTTCTGTCCGCAAATGATCCATGAGCGCTGCCCCTGTGGAACCATGCAGACGTTCGGTACTTTTCCTTTCCGGTTGGATGAACCGGATAACAGCCCAAAGCCACTCCATGCGCCGCGTCCATGGTGCAAACTCTCCCACGATAGTCGACAATGGGACAATACCATACCCTCCGACATATCCACTGTCCTCTGCGAGGATTGCCCTCTCAACTTCTAGGATCTTCTTTTGGAATTTATCTAAATGCGTTCCAACAATAGCTGTAGAGACCGAGCGGCATATGACAGATGGGCTCGCAGAGGATATATCGGAGGCATGTTTCCGCAGCTGCGCGTGGAGTCGGCTCAGGTGGGCAACGGAGGCGAGGAGGGCTTTCTCCGGAGGTGAAAGGAGGGAAAAATCATCTTGAGTGACAGCGTTTTCCCCTTCTTGGGTATTGAAGAGGGGGGATGGCTGGCCGGAGAGGGAGAGTAAGATCTCATGGAGCATTCTGACGAGAGTTCCCTATCGGATATCAACGAGCTGATCGCAGGCGTATATGCGGAAAGCTTACCTAGAGAAATGCCTTCTCTCCACTGGGCAGTTTTTCCGCTGCCAGTATAATAAACCGCGCCCCACGAATTCAAAGCGACACATATGAAGTAAAGTGTTTGATGGCGCAAGCTTCGCGTTGGTGCCGAGACGCGTCAAACGTGGCGTGTTGAATAACGAGCTTCAGGACCAATCCGAGGAGATAGGGATGGTTGTCATTCTCCAGAGTCGACCCCAAATCTTATCCAGATGTACCACAGCTTCCAACTCTCAACAATACACTCTGTAACTCGAGAACAATAGCTCCCAGTGGTTTAATGAAGTATCGCGGGGCTAAAGGCCAATCGGCCTCTCACCGCCCATTAGTCATCTCTTAGCTGTCGGGCCACCCCTCTTACGTCGTTGCGTTGTCCCTCTCTCGATCTCTCTCCTACTTTGTACTGACTTGTCCCTTACTTATTCACTCCTACCTCCCACGGCGTTCCGTTTTTCTTATCTTCTACAACACTCTATCATTCGTCGATTGCGTTCGGATTGCTACTCTTCTCCGTGCTCGTTGAGCTAGGTACCTGGTACGCTAGGCGTTGCAACTTGATTTATCATCACTATTGAAAGACTTGCTCCATCGCAAGGCTTTCATCTCCTGACTTTCATCATTCCTTTAAATATTCCTGTTCGAGACGCGGCTAAGCCCGGAAAGCGCAGAGCCTCTGAAGACGACGTCGGAGCTCGGCCAGATAAAAGAACCATGACGGTATGGTTAGTCTTGATCTTAGAGATAAGATTGCCACTAATATATTTCACCAAAGGACACCAAGATGCAGGTCGAGAACCCTCAAGAGACCATCGAAGCGATCAAGCATGGGGAAATCGACGAATCACTGTATAGTCGGCAGCTGTAAGCGCCCTCCATCCCTCTATAACATTCAAGTATGTACTGACGCCTTAGAGATACGTTCTTGGCCACGAGGCCATGAAGCGCATGGGCTCTTCCAATGTTCTGGTCGTAGGTCTTAAGGGCTTGGGTGTGGAAATCGGTATGTGATTCGACTATTAGTCAACCCTTGCTTTCATCCCAACATCTGATTGTCTCCATAGCCAAGAACATCGCCCTCGCTGGTGTCAAATCCCTCACCCTGTACGACCCCGCCCCAGTTGCTATCGCGGATCTTTCTTCCCAGTTTTTCCTTCAGCCAGAGGACGTCGGCAAGCCCCGTGCTGAAGTTACCGCCCCGAGAGTCGCCGAGTTGAACTCCTACGTCCCCGTTACAGTCCATGAGAGCGAGAGCCTCGTGGGCGATCTCGAACAACTAAAGCGCTACCAGGCAGTGGTGCTCACACAGACGCCTTTGAAGGAACAACTTGTGATTGCCGACTTCTGCCACAAGAACAAAATCTACCTTACAATTACGGATACCTTCGGTCTCTTTGGTTATATCTTCAATGACTTTGGAAAGAACTTCACCGTCGGTGATCCTAACGGTGAAGAGCCTGCTGGAGGAATTGTGGCGGATATTAACGAGGAAGGGTTGGTTTCGGCGCTCGATGAGACCAGGCATGGACTCGAGGATGGTGACTTCGTCACTTTCACTGAAGTCAAGGGTATGGATGGCCTAAACAACAGTGATCCTCGCAAAGTTACTGTGAAGGGTCCCTACACTTTCACCATTGGAGATGTCTCCGGTCTTGGATCCTACCAGGGTGGTGGTCTATTCAGTCAGGTCAAGATGCCCAACTTCATTGATTTCCAGCCACTGGAGGATCAACTTAAAAACCCCGAGCTTCTCATGTCCGACTTTGCCAAGTTTGACCGGCCGCAACAATTGCACATTGGTATCCAGGCTCTTCATAAGTTTGCGGAGACTCATGGTCGCGAATTGCCTCGTCCCCACAATGATAGCGACGCCCAGGAGGTTCTGAAGATTGCTAACGATCTTGCTGCGGCTGGTGAGGAAAAGATTGAACTGGATGAGAAGATTATCAAGGAGTTAAGCTACCAGGCCCGCGGTGATCTGAATCCCTTGGCAGCTTTCTTCGGCGGCATCGCCGCCCAGGAGGTTCTGAAGGCTGTCTCCGGCAAGTTCAGTCCTGTGCATCAGTGGTTGTACTTTGACTCTTTGGAGTCCTTGCCTTCATCGGTCACTCGATCTGAAGAGAGCTGCAAGCCTCTTGGTACCCGCTACGATGGTCAAATTGCGGTGTTTGGCAAAGAATACCAAGACAAACTTGCCAATGTCACCGAATTTTTGGTCGGTTCCGGCGCTATTGGTTGCGAGACGCTGAAGAACTGGGCCATGATGGGTCTGGGCACGGGTCCCAAAGGAAAGATTTACGTTACCGATATGGACCAGATTGAGAAGAGCAATCTTAACCGCCAATTCCTCTTCCGCCCCAAGGACGTCGGTAGACTCAAGAGCGAATGCGCATCTGCGGCCGCTCAGGCAATGAACCCAGACTTGGAGGGTAAGATTGTCACTCTTCGTGATCGCGTCGGTGCCGACACTGAACACGTCTTCAATGAGGATTTCTGGAATGGTCTTGATGGTGTGACAAACGCTTTGGACAATGTCGATGCACGTACATATGTCGATCGCCGTTGTGTCTTCTTCCGCAAGCCATTGCTGGAAAGTGGTACCCTGGGCACCAAGTGTAACACTCAGGTCGTCCTTCCTTTCATCACAGAGTCATACTCCAGCTCTCAGGATCCCCCGGAGAAGTCGTTCCCTATGTGTACCCTGAAGAGTTTCCCGAACCGCATTGAGCACACCATTGCATGGGCAAGGGATGTCTTCCAGACCTACTTCGTTGGCCCACCTGAATCAGTCAACATGTACCTCTCGCAACCTGACTACATTCAGCAGACCCTCAAGCAGGCGGGTAATGAGAAGCAAACCTTGGAGCACCTGCGTGACTTCTTGGTCACTGAAAAGCCTCTAACTTTCGATGATTGTATTGTCTGGGCTCGCCAACAATTTGAAGCACAGTACAATAACGCGATCCAGCAGCTCCTCTACAACTTCCCCCGAGACTCCAAGACATCATCCGGTCAACTATTCTGGTCTGGACCTAAGCGTGCCCCTACACCTTTGAAGTTCGACAGCCTTAATCCCACTCATCTCGGATTTGTTATTGCTGGTGCTAATCTCCATGCGTTCAACTACGGTATCAAGAACCCCGGTGCGGACAAGGGCTATTACCGCAGAGTAGTTGATGACATGATTGTTCCCGAGTTCACCCCGAGCTCAAATGTTAAGATTCAGGCCAATGAAAATGACCCTGATCCGAATGCCCAGCCATCTAGTTCGTCTAGTGATGAGCAGGAAATCCAGAAACTGGTCGCATCTCTTCCTTCTCCGAAGTCTCTTGCTGGGTTCCGCTTGCAGCCAGTTGAGTTTGAGAAGGACGATGACACCAACCACCACATCGACTTCATCACTGCGGCTAGCAACCTCCGTGCAGACAATTACGAGATCCCTCAGGCCGACCGACACAAGACCAAATTCATCGCAGGAAAGATCATCCCGGCGATTGCCACCACTACTGCCCTGGCCACCGGTCTTGTTGCTCTCGAACTATACAAGGTTGTTGACGGCAAGGACGACATCGAGCAATACAAGAACGGCTTCGTTAATTTGGCCCTTCCGCTATTCAGCTTCAGCGAGCCGATCGCTAGTGAAAAGGGCAAGTACCAAGGCAAGCAAGGCGAAGTCACAATCGACAAGCTCTGGGACCGATTCGAGGTGGAAGACATTCCCCTCCAGGAGTTCCTCGAATTCTTCGCCGAGAAGGGCTTGGACATCACCATGGTCAGCTCTGGAGTCAGCTTGTTGTATGCAAGCTTCTATCCCCCATCGAAGGTCAAGGATCGCCTTCCTCTACCGTGAGTATCTTTTCTATAGCCCCATGCGTGAGTCAAATTGCTAACATTATACCTTACAGTATGAGCAAGCTTGTGGAGCACGTCAGCAAGAAGCCAGTCCCCGAGCACCAGAAGAACATCATCTTTGAGGTGACCGCAGAGGACCAGACAGAAGAGGATGTCGAGGTTCCTTACGTGATGGTCAAGCTAGGCACAAAATAAGGCGATTAGAATCTACGGAAAGCCAGTTGGCTACATATTGCTAGTACAGTAGCTAGATATCATGATTACTCAACTCTCTACAGTCTCTGTTCAAATATATTTAGATAATCAATGTAAGCTATATTATATCTTTGTACAAATTACAATATCAAATGGGCTTTGCCAAGACATCCAGATCGCTTTGTCAAAGCTGATGGATCTTCCGATAAGCAACTCTGACTCAGCATTTGGTCATGCCCGGGGACGTCATGACCCCCGCAAAGACATTTTTATTCTTCTTATAAATACAAGTGTAAATTCCCTGCCGCTTATGTTCTTTATTCTGAGATCTCAATCATTGTGGCATCTTTCACGTCCAATTATCCGCGCAGAACCTCTTCGTGCAGCTTACCAAAGCTTTGTGTTCCCCGCACCAATCACCTATTCCCGCAATATGGCTGTAAGAACTAAAATCGGCTACAATAGCTCCAATTGCTATACTGACTTATAATGCCAGACCGGAAATCCCATGAGCATCACCGATTGGGTGAAACCTGGCGACAAATCGGGAGAGTTCAAACGCCAGCAATCTGTCTTCCGGAACTGGATATCTAGAGGGGCCGGCGCCCAATTCCCTCCAGAGAAGGGCCGATACCATCTTTATGTCTCTTATGCCTGTCCTTGGGGTATGAAAGAGCATCTAATTGACTTGCCACTCGATCTGTGACTCATTATCTACTAGCTCACCGGACTTTGATTACTCGGAAGCTCAAGGGTCTCGAGGACTTCATCTCTTTCTCTTCGGTGCATTGGCATCTTGGAGCGGAAGGTCAGATCTATCTCACAAGTCGTGGGGAAATTATATGGTTCTAACTCATCTCTTAGGCTGGCGATTTGCTACTCCCGATGAGAAACTGTCGGGGGAGAACACCATTCCTGATCCTCTACACCCAGAATTCACCCATATCCGACAGATCTACTTCTCCAATGATCCAGAATACACGGGCCGGTTCACCGTCCCAGTTCTCTTCGACAAGAAGACCAAGCTGATCGTCAGCAACGAGGTACGAAACAATCTTCCCAGACGATGCCATTTTCAATCCCAAATTCTTACAAAACCAGAGCTCGGAAATCATCCGCATGCTCTACCATGAGTTCGACGATATCCTCCCAGAGCAATACAAAAACATCGATCTCTTCCCCAAGGCTTTACAAGCCGATATCGACGCTTCCAACGAATGGATCTACAACGACATCAACAATGGCGTATACAAATCCGGTTTCGCGACCACGCAAGAAGCCTACGAGAAAGCCGTAACAACACTCTTCTCCTCACTCGACAAGGTCGAAGCCCACCTCGCCAAGCAGGAAGCAGCCTCGAAGCCGTATTTCTTCGGCGACGAGATCACTGAGGCTGATATCAGACTCTACACCACCATCGTTCGGTTTGACCCGGTCTACGTGCAGCATTTCAAGTGCAATCTGCGTGATATCCGCTCTGGATTCCCGGCTATTCACCGCTGGGTGCGCAGGCTGTATTGGGAGGTCCCTGCTTTCGGGGATACCACTGACTTTGAGCATATCAAGTTCCATTACACTAAAAGCCACAAGCAGATTAATCAGTTTGCTATTACTCCTCTGGGGCCTGTGCCGGACATCCTTCCTCAGGGTGAGGAGGTTAGGGCTGTGCAGGCGGCTAAATAAGGGGTTTAGTGATAATGCCTTTCTGCGGCTCGCGAACTGAGTAATTTAAGAGTGATCAGAATGGTATTCATGCAAATGTTTCAAAGTATGTATTATCCAAACGTATAGATTTTCTTGTAATAATAGACAAAATGGAAATCAAAAGTCCCGTGGTATTGTATCGACGCCTTGCCATGCTGATGTGGTTGGTGGTGTTTCCCAGTGCCCTGTATCAAAGGTTGGTCAAAAGTACAGTTGTCTCAAGTGAGCGCAACATGAGCAATAGAAAGCAAATAAAAGTTACAGATTGAAGCATTGTTGATATCAACCAAAGGTGAATGCAACAAAAAAAGAAGCCAATGTTGTGATCTTTCGAATTATAGCAAAGAGATCAAAAATGGGAATGGGGTGCATCTCAAATGCACCCATGAGTGAGGGGGTGTGCCAAGTCTGTCGATGGCTTTTGTGGGTATCTTGGGGACAACGCTTCTAAATGTCAAGCCAGTAAATAGCAAAGATCGATCCAAAGGCACAGGAATGGATGTGCTGGAGTGAAGGTCGAAAATGCATGCGAATGGCTGAGTGGTATCCGCGGGGGTATGCAAGGAGGAAGTGAGGGCTTTTTCGGGCTGGCAGATTATCGTAGGCCAAGTATGCGTTTCGCGTTCTCATAGACCACGTAGCTGATTGACATGGCCGGTGCCACTTTGAGAAGGTTAGGTGTGAGACCCTTGTACAGACCACGGGGTCCCTCGGTTTTGAGTGTGATCCTTAGAACCTCGCCAATCCCTGTGTATGTAGGTGGATGCATGATCGTGCCCTGGGTTTGAAGTCGAGTGCGGAGAACATTGAGCGGGTAGACAATACAGGCACTGAATCCTCCACTCATAGCACCAATTGCACCTGTCGCGAAGTTACCGAGGGGGACGTCATCCTCATGACAACCACATTCACGGGCCTTTTTAGCAAGAAGTCTCCGTTTGAGGTATTCAAATGTTGATAGATCGATTGCGGCGTAGGGGAACATCCCCACGAGGCCAAGCGGGAGTCCTCGGAAAAAGCCAACCAAGCCATTCTTGTTCCACACCTTTCTTGCGGTAGCTGCGATGAGTTGATTGCCTATCGGGCCACCTTTCACGGTTTCACACTGCATGCGACTATTGATAATTGTAAGCCACAATGCTTTAACAAATCACTTGGGTCGATGTACTAACAATTTTAGGGTATCAAGGGGGTAGACGAAGCATCTAGTCACAATTAGATCCATGTTTCCTCTCATCAATGACGTGCATGACCTACTGGGCAACCATGCCACCGAAACCACCGGACATGAATTGTGAAGTGGGAAGGAGTCGCTTGGTATCATTATGTCCTTCGAGTTTTGCAAATGCTCGTTTCGCAGACTGTTCTCAGGTCAGCATTCGTCTAGTTGCGTAGACGAAATTGGATATCAGGAGTACAAACCTCGTAGGCACCAAACTTGATCGCAGACTCTGGCATAACCTTCACCACGTTCAAGCCGTTCCCTACTGATGGTTAGTCGTTGCCGCTTCGAGCCCAGATCGACAACTACGAACCTGCGAACAAACTTCGCATTCCTCCAGCTCGCCATAATACTTTGAGCCCGTCGAGCAATGTTTTGGAAGCATTCCCTGCCGCAGCCAACGGGGCTCCGTCCTTCGCCGCCTGAACCGTTGCTTTGACGCCGGTCTGTGCAATGAGATAGACTTTGAGACGATCGAGGGGGGCGGTGGCCGTCCTTGACACGGCACCCGCAATTCCACCTGCAAGGAAGTAGCCTAGTTGAGGGGTATTTTCGGTCAACTTCCGTCCATAATATCGGAGACACATCCGCATGGCGGTAGTCTGGGGAAGAGCCAACCACTCCAACTCCAAGTCGACGTCTAGCGAGGCATAATCATGCTCGTAAACGGGTCCCAACTTTGAGATTTGGCTGGTTTGCGCGTGCGCTGAAGGAAGGAGGGAGGCCAAGGCGGGGAGAGACAGAACGTTGTACAAAAGGTGTTGGATGGCCAGAATGTAAGGTGAAAGAAACGGATGGTCTGTACCTAAACCCTGCAGGTCATTGATGTGGACATCTCCTTCCGGGTTTAGATTGCCCGTAGCCGTGTAGTATGAAAGGACGGCGTGTAGGTCGGTCGGGGACTGGACAGGGAGGAATAGAAGGAAATCCCTAAAAGAAAAAAGAAGATTATATGTCAGCCTAGACTGTTCAGCCTTCACTTGACCAGTGCGAATGCATATACCTCCACTCTTTGTAAGAGATCACCCCGTCATTGTTTTTGTCGACCTCGGCGAAAAACCGGTCCAACTTGGCGTTCGAGACCGTGACTCCGGAACGTGAAAATGCATTTCGCAATTCTGTCTTGTCAATTTCTCCGCTGTTGTCTCGATCGATGCTCTGGAACATCTGCCATAGCCCGTCCTCGGTGCGGTCGAGAAATGCTCGGAATTCTGGTGATTATAGGATTAGACCAAATAATGGCGGCCAGGACACCCCTTCCTCAACTGGCGAGGTAGTTCTTGTGAGCTTACCGGCTTGGTCGATACGTCCATCGCCATTCGTGTCCACCTCCCGGACAACACTCAGTACCATATCGTCTGCATTTTTTAAAGCTAGAAAGAGATTAGGCGCGCAAACATAAAGGAACCCGGTCAAACTCACGATGATCGATCTTCTTTAACCCCTTTTTTAATCCAGTCAGGTCGATATGGCCCTCTCGTCGGGTATCCAAGGTTTCCCAGAGTTTGGCGACTCGTTTGTCGCGTTCATCTTTTGACTCTTCGGATGCCATAATGAAAATTGTTACCGAGCAACCATTTCTTTGCTTTGTTATAAAGGGATGTTTAAACCAAGACCCATCGAAGTTAAAAATAAGATCGAGGACATAAAAAGGATGACGTGAGGTAAAAGTTATGAATATGAATACCTAGGTAGTTAGCCCTTTGTAATGATTAATAGGCGCCCGGCGATTTGACCTTTGACGCCATCGGATTATCTTGCACGGGACCAGGGCTTGGCCCTACTATCCCTTTTTGGGATTACAACCTGACCTCATATTAGATGACTTGATTCTTATATTATTGATTGTTTTGTTTTTGGTATTTTCTTTGTTGGTGATTCTGCATTCTCATTTCATTTTAATACGTGGCCTGCGGGGTCAGCTGTATAGCCCCCGGACCTCGGATCAACCATGTCGTGACGGCTTTCAATTTGCGAGCGCCATCATCAAACTTTCAATATGGCAGCCAACTACTGGGCATCATCCCAGCGTCGACACTGGCTATTCTCTAGAGAGAAGTTAGCCGATATCCGTGAAGGATTACGGGAGAAGGATAAAGTTGCCCATTCGCAGTTCCCGCTGCCAGATCAGCGACTACTGAATATCTACTTTAATCAGCGTAGGTGTTGTCAATATGTCCATTATTTTGAACTTTCAGGCTAATCGAAATCATAAGAACTCATCAAGCTCGGCAAACGCATGTCCACTAGACAGCAGGCCATTGCGACAGCACAGGTGTATCTCAAGAGATTCTATACCAAGAATGAGATTCGACAGACAAGTCCATACCTCGTGCTCACCACAGCCTTCTATCTTGCCTGCAAGATGGAAGAGTGTCCACAACATATCCGCTTTGTGGTCGGCGAAGCGCGCGGTCTGTGGCCAGGTATGTATCCGTATATAAAGCCATAAACAAACAAATCGCTAACTATTCACAGAATTCATTACCCCGGATGTGGCAAAGCTCGGGGAATGCGAGTTTGCCTTGATATCCGAATTGAGCTCGCAACTCATCGTGCATCACCCTTATCGGACTTTGTCCGAACTTCAGACCGAACTATCACTCACCTCGGACGAAGTCGCTCTCGCCTGGTCGGTTATCAACGATCATTATCTGACAGATCTACCACTTCTACACCCGCCCCATGTCATTGCCATCATGGCAATCATCGTCGCCGTTGTATTCAAGCCCACCCACCCATCCAGCTACCCTGGAACCGGGCAATCGGCTTTGGCGGGCTCCATGAGAGATGGAGGCGGCATGCAGATGCTGGCCGCTTTATCAGATAAAACTGGATCCGGTCCTCCTCCTAAAATTCAGAAGCTTATCGGCTGGCTTGCGGAAAGTGAAGTCGATATCAAAGCTATCATCGAATGTACACAAGAGCTGGTCTCGTTGTACGAGGTGTGGGAGCAATATAGCGAGAAGAACTGCAAGGAGTTGCTTGGAAGGATGGTTAAGAGCAAGAACTTGGACAAATGATGCCATCCCGCATCTTGTACTTTAACACAACCCTTTTATATCGATGTCTCGGTATTCCAGATAGGCAGTTGATCCACGTATACCCACTCTAGTTTTGACGACTTTCCCCCCTTTTTTTGGATACTTCTTGCTGCTTATCTACCTGGCAAGATATGGCTGCCAATAAGGTTCCAGGTCAAATTATAGCGGGGATCAGCTTACAGTCTGAAGACAAGCGCGGTGATGTGTGACATTGGATAAACTTGGGGAAAACAAAAGAACAGTACGATAAATGTGAGACTATCTCCTTCATATCCACTCTCCACTGCTGGAAAAATGGCAATCCAATCTCTTCCAAAAACTTGGGAGATGCACTGTTCAGTTGACGGAGCAACCAATTCTCGTGGGCGAAGTCGGGGTCACTTTGGACTCGAAGTTTATTCTGCTTGCTCTGAGGATCAACGACTATCTGAAATGCCTTTTCCCTCTCGTTCGCATATATGTCCAGCAGGTCGGACGACTCCCCTTCAAGAATAACCATCTCGAGGATATCGCATAGAGCTTCCGAGTCAATCAGTCCTGTTGAAAGTCCGATACCACCCATGGGCTAGTAGTGATGAAGTGAGTATCAAAGACATATCATGAAAGGGATGAAGAACTAACGTTATTAATTAAGATGAGCTGCATCTCCCGCGAGCACACATTTTCCCCTTCGGAATGTAGAAGCACATAATTGATGGATCCGATAGAGAGAAGACTTGATTACTTCTACGTTAATTGGCCTGGGGCCAGGAAGCATTTTTCCCAGAAGAGACGTGACATGGGCGATTGAATTTATTCCGTCAACTGGCGTCTGATCTTCTGGGTTCAAGCTGATAGCACATCGGTCTAAGGTCCGTTTTCCAGCTTCAACGGGTTTAAATGGAGTGATAATACCCCAGTATATCGGGTGCACAATGAACTGGGTTGGGAACTTAGTGTCGAGATTTGGATCCTCGAATAGCAAGTCGATGGATATTAGTTTCTCTGACCAGCTGTGTCCTTTCAGAGGAATATCCAAAAGCTTCCTGGTAGTCGACTGGCCGCCATCAGCACCCACTAGATATGATGCTTGGAATATTGTCTCGGTATCGCCTCTCCTGGTCGTGGCGTCGACGCCTGAAGCATTCTGCTCAATTTCTACCAGGGTCTCTTCAAAATACACAGTAACCAAGCCCGTTGCGGTTGCTTTCTCGAACAACAACTTGGTCAGCTCTCTCTGCGGCAGATACAAGATGCCACCGACATCATGGGGCTCTTTTGTATCTCGAGGAATAGACAAACGAGCGATCATGTCACCCATTGTGTAACCTCCCTGTCCATCGTTGCGGATCAGCTTACGCCAGCAAAATCCCTCTGAAAAAAAAAACCCTGCCTTCTCTATATCCGGTATCACCCCCATCTTATCCAGGGTAATCAGTGCGCTCGCGTAATAAGCCACAGCACGCGGTTCCTCACCTAGCCTTGATTCCTTTTTTACCACGTCGGCCACGATACCAGCTAGCGCAAGTCTCAGCGCAATAGCAAGCCCAACTGGGCCTGCACCCACGACTAGCACATTTCTTTGTGACTTCTCTGGGGTATGGACAGTTTCCGAATGTTGCGATGCCATGGTGCTCCAGCAACAAAATTGTATGAAAGATAGGATCAATGAGTGAACGGGAATGGGTGAGCAACTTTGGAAGGGTTGAGCAACAAACAATCAGAGGCTTAATTGAGTATTTATGTCTGTCTACTATAGGATATCCAAGTTGATTGTCCTGTATTGTGCTACTTTATAGATGTTAAACTGAGAAGCCGGGTATTCTTACTTTTACACTGCCAGCCATTCACATTCACATTCAACCCATCGGCACTAATCTACTGGGGAAGGCAAAGTGCTCTTCTGCTACTCAGAGCCAGCATCCCGTAAATCGGATTTCGTCCAGTCCCTGAATTGTCTCTGCACGTATCTCTATTACACCCAAACCTCATTTGTAGCAACTATATCTGAAGAGATACGGGTCATAACAAGAAGAGAAAATTGAAAGGGATACTCGCAGGTGGGGACATCGCGCCTTCCCAATCTATGGCTTCATGGAGGCATCAGGCCATAACAACGTTCGACGGTACAACACTCTACTGCTCCACGGTACATATAAAATGGATTGTCCATTGGATTGGGTCGAATGCCCACGAGTTCCTGCCTATCTCTGTGATCACATTAGTCCCAGCGCATTACGGTATATGCCAGCTTTGATCAAACTCTGTTTCAAGAGGTCAAATTACAAGATATGTCTACACGTATAGAAATATTAAACGCTAGTCACGATAGGATGTTTGTGACAAATAAGGCATGCACTTTTCTTGGATTCCATATCAAGGGCATTCCCGAATCAAGTCATTCCCGAATCAAGTGTAATAAAGATAAAATCAAAATAATGTTTTAAAAGTATGTAAGAATCTAGACTTATTCCTTTGTCTTGTTGTCATGCCGTCTGTGCAACAAGGACCTCGACTCCGCAAATCGCGATTTCAATATCACCCAGAGTTTTGAACCCATCTTCCAACTCGGACAGAAACATTTGCCACGATGTATAATAAAGATATATTTGCAATTCAACCAGGGCTAAAATAGTTGGTATTTGCAAGTCCCTTGCGCGGTGTATCCGGGGATCGGATCGCGGATAGTCTATTGAATTACATATTTCGTGCATCGGAACCCCCACGATCTCAGACACAAAATCATGCAACCTGCACAGACGCTGGATAGATCAGCTGCATGATTCAAGCTTCGCAACGTTTACGGGGTACAATATGTGATAGATCCGATCTCGGCAGTGCGACTGCGCCTCGTGAGATGCTCCAAATAGCGAAAGGGGCGGTGAACCCGACAACTGGAGAGGCTTACGGTGGGACGTTGTTTCTAGTAGAGTTTTGGGCTTGGTCCCATTCGGCGCCGTGTAATAGAAATGGAAGTTATCACTGGAGGGAAGGTCGGCACATCATGCAACAGGGTTATGTTCCAGTAGGCGCCGAGAGAGTATTTTCAGGGCATATCCCAATCAGGGACAGAAGGACATGAATGGAAACGGAAATAGCTCCCAGGCGTAAAAAGTATATCGCCACACGTTGAATAGTGGGAACTCATATTTGATTTTTATTCGGTCGCATAAATATGTAGTGAGTCACGGGTAGGCAATGCTACCCAGCGAAGAAGGCAGGAAAGCGCCTTAGGCCCCTGCCCTAGTCCGGATTCCGCATTGATGAACTCCGATTTGGAAGGGTGTGAGCTGATAAGGTAGGATCTCAAGGTCCCCTACCAATAATAGGCGGGTTCATCTGCAGCTGTGTGTCTCGAGACCAACAAGGTTTTTTTGGAGGGGTCTTTGCGCTGCGTGTCGAAGGATTGGGGAATTCGTACGGGGGAGCCGATCAAAGCAAGATCAGCAGCCACTGCCGATTCGGGCACCCTATAGGGGGGAATAGAGGGGGAATGTTCCTGGGAAGGCAAAGCCAATGCACAGCCTGCAGCTAAGGGATCCGAAGGGCTGAGAAAACTTCAGCTTTTCCCTCTAAGGATTTACTACAGACTTCACTATTTCGGGTATATAAGAAAAGAAAGGTGTCGGCAACGTCGGATCTAGATAGAAGATTATGTTACAATCGTCATTGTGCTAGATGGTTCTGTCATTAGAGATTCTAACGTTCCAATCGACGTCAGGTTTTTGAAGTATTTTGGTGGGCCGTTGAAGGGTTCCATTTTTGAGGATCTGCGAGTTATCATTGGTTTTGAGGCTATTGCCACTCTCTTAGCGCTTTGGTCTGGTTGGTGCGTCGATGTAAGTGTCTTTTCCATTTATGACAATACATAACTGTAATTATTCATATCAAACACTTTATCAACTCCCTTAGATGGTAATAAATGGTAATAACAGTATCCATACCATCCCCATAACACACCCCTCCCCTCTTTTTCTCCTTCGCCTCTTCCCACACACTCTTCTCATTAATCCTTCCTCCTTTCAATCTCGATCTTTCCTCCTATATTTTTATATTCTCGTTTTTTTTTGTAACTTTCTTATCTTCCATCTTCTCACCTTCGAGTTTTGGCTTCTTACACAATGTCTGCCTACTTCTATAACCAACACCAGCAACACCAGCAACATCCTCACCATGGTGCTCACATGCAATCTGCAGCAAATACCCACCATGGGCGCTCTCGTCGTGCCCCAAAGATGGCCTCGCAGAATGCTCAGCGTCAGTTCCGAGGAGTCAAGAGTATGCGGGAATTGGCGGAAGCCCCGGCTGTGACAGCCTTCCGTGCAAGATTCGAGGCTGGTCGGTCTTTTGATCTGGATGACGACCTCGAGTTTTGCCCGGGTCTCCTGACTGAGGATGATGTACGTTTTGATCGGCGAATTTTCGAACCCCCCCTTATCCATCACCCCTTGAAGATCGCCAATCTCAATTTGGATAAACCATTTAAGGGGACAGTCTTACTGACTTTATAATCTCTAGCTGCACTCCATCCACTCCGCTTCCGACCGCTCTTCTCTCTCCAGCGGCTCGCCGGACACCTCACCTCTGCAGCACCAAATCCAACCGGTGCAGCAGGTGACCCCGTCCATCTCTTTGTCCCCCGCTCAAACCAACTCATACGTTCACCCTGGTGTTGCCGGCAACCCTAATCATGTCAACTACCAGCAGCAGCAACCTGCGAACCGGACCCGCAAAGTCATTCCGATTATCAACCCTTCGACTGGAATGACCTTGTCGAGCCCCCCTTCATCGATCACGCCCGCGATGATGCAGAATGCTCAGCGTCGATGGTAAGGGTGCCATCTGCCAAAGTCGTAGGCACCCTACATCTCCATTCGTCCATTGCACGTTATTTCAGCTGTTCTGCATCATCGGGGTCCCTTAATCGCAGGTCATAATGTTTCTTTTTTTTCTCCACTTGCATTCTTGTTCGATACGTCTATTGCATTCGACACGACACACAACCTGGAAAAATATTTGTTCCACGAACACGGCGACCAAAAAAAAATCATCAAAAATTCGAAAACAAAAAACCGACCTGTACATACACTCTCCTCTTCGCCGATTACGACCACCTTCGCCTCATATCCTAGATCCTTTGCGATACTCTTAGCTTGTTGCGAGCGACGGCGCCTGCGATTCAATACCTTGCATCCTTTTCCTACGATACCTCTTTTCGTCTCTCAGGGAGGGACGAATACTTTCTTCGGCCTATGTTTCTTTTTTCCGGTCGGGCCACCGATGATGTACAGAACACACGTGCAGTGACATTGCTACTTGACGTTGCATGTCCATGACCTTTGGAGTTGATTTTACCTTGTTTTTTCTGGGAGGGTTTTGCGTCCAAACGACTTTGCCAGATACACCTACGCTGTGGCACTTATTTTCTTTCTACGATCTCTTTGTTTGGGTTTTTTTTACCGGGGCGGGAATGGATATCATTTTCAAGGATCTAGAGGCGGAAACGATACACGTCTGCATTGCTTGGGCACTGTTGAATATCTTGGGTTGTTTTTTATTGCTTTGTTACCTTCTACTTTTCTCATCTTTTACGGATTGTTTCTCTGTACATCGAATTTGGGGATTTGTGAACAACGCTTCCTTGCCACTGGTATGTGGCTGGTTGGGTCTGGTAGCGAAACCATGGGATGGGAGTTGTTTCTGTTTGAAATCGATATCCTTGGGGGTCTCTCGCGGTGTGCGAGTCTAGACCATTATGCACTTAAAATGCTTTCATTTTTACTCTCCTTTCATATCTTTTGGCTCTGTATTTCTTTTATTGCCCTTTGGGGGGACTCCCGGAGAGTTATGACATTGTATGGTGTTGAATTACATTGATTCTTGCATACTATCAAGTTCAATCACATCTCATGTTTGTACCTTCTTGAGACTCTCAAGACTACATCGTAGATTGTTGAGATTTGCTTGTACGAAGCAATGCACTTGTTTTCTTGACCAGGCATGTAGATGCGCCTTCAAGCCTTGTACTCCGAGCCGTTCTAATGGCAAACACAGGGCCTATCTCATATTAATGCCGTTCTGGTTTGGGTTTTTGAATCGGTTTAGAGACAGTATCCCAAGGCCAGTGATTAACATTCTATGTTTCCTTTGCCTTCTCTTTACAAATCCGATCAAATTTTTATATATAATGTCACAAGTGGTAATCGGAAAAGATGTAAGAATATATATATGGAGTGGATCAATACTTTGGAGAAATGGGGTTTACCTACAAGGCTTACACCACTTAAACTATAAACTAATTACACAAAGGTTATGATCAGATCTTTAATTAACATTGGTTATACTCAACAGTTTGATCGGCCGAAGATCAATGTAAAGATCCTATTGTTGGAGTAGTATGCCAACATTCAATGCCATTGTTTCAATAGGCAGAGAAGCAAAGCTCAAGAAAATAAAAAAGTAAGCCACACTTAACATGTCACAGAGAGATCTCTATCACCTCTTTAATATGTTTCAAGTGCGTTGTACAGCCTGCATGATTGGGCCTCTACCCGCTGGACCTTGTTTCAGGATCAACAAACGACACTCCACAGGCCCTCAGGTCTCAGGTGCCAAACCCACGCGCCCAGGGGAATCCCCCCACTTATATAAGACGTCGCGTAGTAACAGACAAATTACAGGGTACCCTGCTATTCCGTACATAGATATCTCCGTACTCCGTACCCCGTCAGGCGCTACTCCCGATGCCCCTTACCTCCTGACACGCGGAGTATACGTCCTGGCCTGGGACTGATGGTGTCTGTGAAGCATGCCCAGCTTAGGCCAAGGGTTTGGCAGTGCAGTAATTGCCTCCGATAGGCGGATATGTCAGACAGAAACAAACGCTTGCACTACAATATACGTACTGCTTTCGGGTCACTCTTGCCTTTAGGGTTATTTTCTGCCCATATGAAGTTTCACTTTGTCTCTTGTCTTGTTTTTTGCTTTGATATATTATTTTTGCTTCTCTCATTGTTTTCTTCTCTTCTGCATTGTTCACATTGTACACATTGTATTCTTCTTTCTTTTCCATTCTTGGCTGCAGGTATTCGAGTCAGGACTACTGCCTGCTGACGTTCATTTTGAGACATTGGGCATTGTCCTCCATTCATTCAGAACAAGTCTGCCCTTACAGCTCTGCAGAGCTACCGAAAATTCACATTTTTTTGGTTTTGTCTTGTGTTTCTTGTCCATCGCATTCTTTAATATCAATTCTACAGGCCGGCCCTGATCTAATCACTCTTTTTTCCGATTTTGATATCCCCAGTTGGGGCTTTGGGCAACATGCAATTCATTCTTTTTCTTGCTGTTTTCTTTTCGTTGGGCTTCAATGCTCTTTCCATGCCCGTGGCTCCTCTAAATCACCTTCAAGGCCGGTCCTTCAAGGTGGAGAGAGTCAAGCGCCATGGCGACGTTACCCATGGACCCGCGGCACTGCGCAAGGCATACCGCAAGTTCGGAATTGATGCAACAACTCTCAATGGTGTGGATGTAAGCGACTTCCAGCCTTTCGACACCAAGCATGCCACTACCGCCTCCGTGAAAATTGCAAAGGAAGAAGTGGTGAATTCTGAACAGACGGGCGCCGTGGATGCCACTTCTGTTGACGGAGACGTAGAATTTGTCTCGCCGGTCAATATTGGAGGTCAAACCTTCGATCTGAATTTTGATAGCGGCTCTGCTGATATGTAAGTTTTGTGTTGTTGTTCCTTTGGAAGATTGGCTGGCTAGCGACATCTTCCATACTCCAGCTCACATAATGAATATTCCAAACTAACCAATTGCCATATAGGTGGGTGTTGAGCTCGAGACTTCCAAAGTCTCTGCGAAGCAGCCGAGAAGTCTATGAACCGAGCAAATCCACCACTTTCGAAGAACTCAACAACAGCACATTCGAGATCAAGTACGGCGACTCGTCCTATGCCACCGGGGGAGTAGGCAAGGATGATGTCTCGATTGGCGGTGTCAAAGTCGCCGGGCAATCATTCGGCCTTCCGACGGATATTTCGCAAACATTCGCGGATGACACTAAGTCTAACGGACTCGTCGGTCTGGGATTTTCTTCAATCAACACCGTCACACCAGTTTCACAGAATACGTTCTTCGACAACGTCGCCCCCAGCCTCAGCGAGCCAGTCTTCACCGTTCGACTGCTCAGCAATGGCGTCGGAGAGTATGAATTTGGAACTGTTGATCATAGCAAGTATCGAGGCGTCATGGCCAATGTCAGTGTGGATTCATCCAAAGGATTCTGGCAGTTCGACTCGGCACAATACGCCATAGGAGGAGGCCCCTTGCACCCGGTCACCGAGGCGCCCACCGCCATTGCTGACACTGGCACCTCGCTCATGATGGCTAGCCCTGAGGTTGCGGAGGCGTACTATAAGCAAGTCGATGGCGCTATATACGCCAATAATGCCAACGGGTATATCTTCCCCTGCACTTCGAGCATGCCCAGCCTATCCGTTGCGATTGGGAAAGGTTATTCGGCTACCATCCCAGGATCGTTCATGAATTGGTCCGAGGTTGGAACCAATACGACTACTGGTGAAACAGGTGAGAGAGGCCTTTTTTCCGTTCAAGCTACTTCAAGTATGAGTTCTGAGCTAACCTTTTTTTCTCTTTGATAGTGTGCTATGGCGGCCTTCAGTCGAGCGGAAGTTCAAGCATGGCGATCTATGGCGATGTGTTCTTGAAGGCATTGTTTGTGGTCTTTGATCAACGCGGGCCTTCTCTGGGATTCGCGGCGCCTGTTTAAGCAAAACATTCTGAGATCTATCAACTCTTCAAGTTGTGTGATAATGTACAGATTAGAAAAATGAAACCCATAATTCAACTTTTTCATGTGTTGGCATGCAGAGAGGAAGACATTTCATTAATATGCACAAAAATAGTACGAACTCGGAAATTTTGATTTCTTCATATTCTCATGGGTATGCGTTTAGTTTTATTTTCAGATATACCTAATACCTTCACATCCCTTACCGCACAGTAGCATTAGTCAAGCTCTTAACAGTACAGACACCACCGGAGGCAGCAACCAGCTTTCCAAGAGCAGGCTTGCCCTCCTGTCCATGGACAGAGGGAACAGCACTGCTATCAAAGGCAACCTCGCGGTCGGCAGTGGTAGTGAAACCCGGCTGGAAAGTCTCCCAGACCTTCTTCTTGGGGTTAAGCTGCTTCTCAGGCTGGCCATCGTTCCAGCCCTCGAAGCTGATACGCTCACCGGCAGGAGCATCAGCAGGGGGGTTAACGAGCTCGACGGGACCGGCGTGCGAGTCCTCGCCCTCCGCAACACCGGGGGGACGCAGCGAGAACCATAGCGCAGGATTTGACGCCACGCATGGTCACGGGCTTCAGGTTGCACACGGCAACGATCTTGCGGCCCTGCATCTCCTCGAGCGGGATCAAACCGTTCAATCCGGAGCACACAGTTCGCACGGTCTTGCCGGTCTCCTCATCGAGAGAGGTGTTGTCGCTGCCAGGGGCGTCGCCGCAGTCGATGGTGGACACGTACAGGGAGTCCGCGTTGGGGTGGTTGATCGCGCGAAGGATGTGTCCGACACGCAGGTCAATCAGTGATGGGGCCGGGGGAGCAGCAGGGGCAGGAGCGGGCTTGGGAGCTTTCTCCTTCTTCTCCTTCTTTTCCTTCTTGTTGGTCTTCACGGGGGCGCCGTCGGCACCGGCCTGGGTCTGGGCCTTGGCAGCTTGGTCAGCCTTGCCTTGGCCGATGACGAGGGGCTTGGACTCGTTGTTGGCATCTGGGTTCTGGGCGCTGGCCTTCTCACGCTTCTTGCGCTCTTTCTCCTCCTTGGGGTCGACGGGCTTGGGAACGAACTTGACATCGTTCAGGTCGATGGCGATCTTCTCCTCCTCGGGAATTTGGAGCGAGAACAGACGGCCGTTCTGCACGAAGTCGACGTGACGCACGATGTGGTGGTAACCCTTTTCTCCGGTGCGCTCTTCGGGAGTCCATTTCTCAACGATGGGGGCGAGGAGAGCGTAGATGGCAATATCGGCGACCGAGGGCTTCGCGCCGAGGAGGGTGGTGCGGGTGGCCAGGTGGGTGTTCAGCTGGTCGAGGATTCCCGTAGTGACGTCCTTTTGGTCATTGGCGAGAGAATTCTTCAGGCCGGAGACAGCGTTGAGCCATTGCTTGATGTCGGCTTCCTCTGCCTCATTGAAGGTGACCTGGGGGAAGATCTTGGCCGAAGCGTGGAGGTAGTCGGGTTCGGTCGAATCGGGAGAGACTACGGCGGGATACGACCGGTAGAGAAGAGAGAGGAGAGAGGTCTCGGGAGCTGCTGCCGTCGCCATGGTGTATGTTCGTTGAGTGGTTGGGAGTGGAAGAAGAGAAAATCGAGGAGGGGCACGGATTTGTGTCAGGACCCGCGGGGTTGCCAGTCGGGCCCGCAATAGGGTCGACCTGAGGGAATTCAATTTGACGACGATCCCTTTTATATAGGGATCTGGTGCAATTACTTGTTTTAATTAATATTCCAATTGTCTTTGGATGCTTTTTTTTTTCCTGGCCGTGCTGTGTTTGCTGACTCAGCGGTTGCCGGGGAGCTGCCCTTAGTAGACAGGCCTGTTACTAGAGGATTTGACCTCGACGTCTCATTGTCTGTGTTAAAAGGACCTGTTGATTACGACATTTCAATGTCCCACCATATCCCACCATCGGAAGACTACAACGTCAAAGTTAGCTTCCAAGAAGAGGAAGACAAGCTCCTTGGACTAGACTATCCTCAACAGCGGATATATCTATTTATTTCATCTTCAGCAGTTGACCCTGTGTTATATTGCCTTATCTTATGTTGCATAGACCCTTGCTAGTTGAGCAACGTGAAGGAATGGTTCTATAGCAGTTTCAATGTCTACATCCCGATCTCTGTCGAAACTGAATCAAGAGGACAAACAAATTGCTATTACATCCCCACTATACATAGCATCGACCAGAAACTGTGCTATGAAGCTGCAATTTTGATTTAGATACTAGTAAATTCCTTTTTACAGGGATTAATCTGCTTGTTAGAGGAAGTTTACCGCCTATTTCCACAATGTTTGGTGATTTCTAGCTAACATGAAACTCCGTCTGTTTTGCTTGTTTCACTACGGTCTATCAATCACGGTGTATCAAGCAAGGGGAAAGCAAAAGAGCAAGCAAAAGAGTATTTCATATTCAACTTATACCGGGCGAGTCTTCCATTTGACACGAATACCTGCTGCCAACGCCTGCTGCCGAGGTGTTTTCCCCTCGCTCATTCCAATATCCGGATTGGCACCAGCTTTAGCAAGCATCTTGATGACTTCCCTATTGCCCACATTAAGGGCTTTTGACAGAGCAGTTTTCCCTTGGCTAGTTTGCTTGTTGACGTCGAGTCGCTTCGAATCTAGCAAATGTTCCACTGTCTGTTGCTGATTAAGACCAACAGCAATCAATAATGGAAAAGCATCCCTTGGTCCGAGATTGGGATCAAGCCTGTTCTGCGCTGGGATGAGACGAGTTATATCATAATTGTTGATAGCGATGGAGCGACAAAGCGGTGTTATCCCCTGGTTGTCTTGAGAATTGATATCGACCTCGTCTGGCATGCGAACAACCTTCTTAGCGAATTTCAGAACGACCGATACCTTGCATCTACAACTTGCAGCAATTCCCAGTAGCGTACGACCATCATTGTCTCGCTCATCAATATTGACTCTTGAGTCTGCAAGAAGAACATCAAGCAGAGTATCCCGATCACTTGACTTCGGCTTGTATCGTTCGAATAGCATACGCCAGGGGGTGCGGCCGCTAACGTCTTTTGCATTGGGGTCTCCTCCCGCTTCGAGCAATGCCTGCACAATTTTGGGTTGATAATGTAGGCATGCTAAATGAAGCATCGAATTCATTTCTGCTAGGGACGCCACAGCATTCGGGTCGGCCCCATGGGCAAGTGGGCAAGCAGCAGCTTGACATCCCGGTACAATCATTCTTGTTTTTCCTGTGTAATGTCCAGTTCCCATATATTGTATATGTAGGTATGTGTCGATGATTGGATTACATTGCACATCCAAGAAGAGCCGTCTCGAAAACGATAGTTGGGGTCAACTCCCCACTTCAAGCAACTTTCGGTCGATTTCCAGTCGTCTTTCTCATGTCTTCCCCAACTTTCATGTAGTGCTTTTTGGGCGAGTTTCCTTAATGCGCATCCGAGGAAGCCGTCTTTAGAAACTAATAGCTGTATCAACTTGACGTTTCTGTTGTTCACCATGTAGTGCAATCGGGTTTGATGTTCACTCCACGCTGTCTCCGGGGCATCAGAGAGTGTTTCGATTGCCTTGATGAATGATTCTTTCTTATTCCTTCGCAGGCTTCGTTCAAATGCACGCAAGTCCTGCATACCACGCTTGCAAAGAAATCCAATCAAGAAGTGATAGAGACCATGATTTGCTCGGCAAAGATTGTAAAGCTCGTTGTCTGGAAGCTCACACCCAATAAGCAGCATCAGCTCGATGATTGATTTTGCCTCAAGTTGTGATCACCAACTTTGTTCCAGCAGCGGCGAGGCTAGATTGGCCATTTTTTGAATCGCTTTTTTCACTCGGTGCTCCTTGTGTGTCCATATTCTAGGATATCAGGCATTATCATTGTCCGATTGAGTAGCAGATCTTGTGAGTGTGGACCTAGTGTCATAGTTCTGCGCAATAAATGTAACCAAAGCTCTCTGATCAGGATGAAAAAGAGCAGTCCCCGATTTCTCTGTTTGAAAGCAAACGGATCGCTTCTGCTGGAAGTTTTGGAAGTCTCGCGGTTGATTTTGTCATCTTGCCAGATAGTATTTCTGCGCTTTCTGGAGGTTGCAAAGGTTGTCGGGGTTGGTGAAGGACTGATCATGATTCTGTCTGAACTCTATAAAGAGACTGTGGTCATAATGTAGTCATGAGGAGCTATTCTCAATCGGTACTTCCTATACATGTTCCTCTGAAGATATTGGAATTCCTTAAAAATTAAATTGAGAAATTAGGCCCAACTAAACGATTCTAACAACCCTCTACTAGCTAGCAACTTGGTTTCTGTCGTCGTCTCTTATTCTTTTTCTTTTTCTCTTCTTTTCTTGCTTGGAGTTCATGAGTTTCTCAAGGTTGATGTTAGCCCGGAAGATCGTTTCCCGTGCTCTCAGACCCGTGCTATCTGGGATGTCCAGCTCGGCACTAGCTTGGACGAGTAGCCTGATTATCTCCCCCGAAGTTGGCAATGTCAAGGCAAAACGCCCATTGCTATCTTTCCGGCTTGGGTCGGTTGCCTTTGTACTTAGCAATCTCTCCACCATCGCTGTCATGTTATGCGAAACGGCGAAAAACAAGGGCAAGTACGTAGGATTGAGATTCGGGTTGATGTGACTTTGTGACAGCAACAGTTCGGCAACTGCAAAATTCCTACTCTCTACCGAGCGATAAAGTGCCGTTTTCCCGTCAATGTCTTGGGAATTGATATCAGCACCTCTTTCACAAACCAAGCAGAGGTGGCCCTGGTAACGCTGGCAGCAATGCTCAAGGGCGTACAGCCATTCTCGCCACGCAGGTTGAGGTCAATACCTGGAGCTTGAAGAAGCGCTTTGATCGTAGTTTTGCAAGGACTGTGGGAGAAAGGACACTTATTTCGACAAAGGGCCATGTGGAGAGGCGTTTGTCTATGGGGTCCAATTGCGTTTGCATCGGCGCCATATTTAATCAATTCTCTTACAATATATGGCTTGCCCATGGATGTGCACAGGGAGACAGTCAGATGAAGTGCCGATGTTTTGTCGGATATGTGGGTATTTGGATCAGCTCCGTATTTGAGCAAAAGCTGAACATTCTTGACGTTTTCTCTTTGTAAGAAATCTTCGTATGCGCGGTGCATCCATCCAGTCGCACCCCGCAACATTTGACAGCAAACCGAACTGGAACCACAAATAGCGACGAACAGTATGGGAATGCGCCCAAGGTTTAATCCGAGAAGGAATTCGTCATCACTGGGACAATTCGGATCAGCTCCTCGCTTGAGGACCTCTTCGACAGATTTATGCCTAGTTGTCCATGGCCGGCCTATACTAGCGGAATTCTGCAGGTTGTCCAAGAGCGTGTCCAGGAGAAATTAACGATATGATTTCCCAACAGAACCACCTTCTAAAGCCATGCCGGAGACACGGCGATTTAAGTGAGAGAGTCTCGCGAGAGTCTTTTCTAGTATCTGAGCTGCAATAAGCTATAGCAACTCGTTACTAGTTAGGGAGATCTAGTATTGATGTTGTGAAGACCTGTCTCTTCCAATCATGAAAAGCATCTGTCGCGAATATTCGCTTGGCGGCTTTGAGAAAGCCCCGCGCTGCCTATTGCACTCGTTTTTTATAGGTCAACCATAACTTCGGAAAGGGGAATTGGTTCGGTGTAGGGTTTCGAATGGTGGAAATCGACACACTAGAGCTGCTAAGACTGGTTTGCCCTGGCTCCGAATAATTCATAACAATGAAATAAACCAACTCCACCTTATTAGACTTGAACTTAAAGGAAACATGCAGGGTCTGCATAGAGGTACCCAACAAGCCTGTATGCTGTTTTGATTATCGTGGGATTCAATGACACAGGATTGGCCAACGACATATTGTGAAAAAACCTGAGATCGATGTGGTAGACGCGTGTTTAAGGAAGGTATTGCTATTATCACAGTCTTTCATATTTGAAGGCTGTAGAGCCGATCATCCTTGGTATGATACCTTGGTATGAGGGGTGGTATGGACCATAGTCATTCTAAGCTTATATGCAAAGTTTGTCTAAAGTTCAATCTTGTAATCACTCTCAAATATGTCCTATTCAGTAAAGGGTCTTGGCCATAAGGTCTCTTATGCATAATTCCAATCCAAGAGGGGCGTAAAACAATTGAATGTAACGGGTGTATTCCACTTATCCTAAACGGCATTAGCGTATCTCAATATCATCTATGATTGGTCAATTGAGCCACGCTAAAATGAGTCATAATGAGTCGTGGGGGAACAGCAGATAAACAACCAATCACGTGTTGCTTATTGTGGGCCCAGGTGGTGCTGCGGTTCATCCCTTGGTCCCCGATTCTTTTATATGGTCTGGCCTTGTCCTTCAATTTCTTCCTCAGGACTCCTATAGAGTCGACCCCCATACACAGTTACCCTAGGGTACTTCCTTCATCATCTTCATATAGAGCGTCACGGGTCTGCAAAGGCCCGTTTAAGAAATCCAGCGATGTCCGCCTGCAGTTGTTCCAGCGCCGCGGCAGCGATCCAGACCTCCTTCCACTGGTTCCAACCCGCCCAGCACCGGCACGCAGGAACGCCATCAAGGGCCTGCTGAATATTCGCCATGGGCGAATCTTCATCCGTACAGCGACAACGACCTCCTCTCATCACTGGCACCGCCGTTGGAAGGCTTTCCCTCGGCTGTGCCAGTCTGTCAATCCTTTGATACCCTCACGCACGAGTCGGCACTCTGGGCAGAACCCGATCTGTCCTTTGTTGATACTGACTGGAATTTCATATCTGTGAATCATCCGACGCCATACCCTCCTGGCTATGACGGTGGCGATGTCCCCGTCATGGACCTTGGGTATGGGTCTACCTCTGCTTTCAACTCCCTTTCGGATTCCGGATCAATCGAGCACCAGCAATATGTTTCTGCGTCTCTTGCTCCTAGCTCCGCCAATTCACAAGGTGGGATTATATTTTCCAATCAACTCAAATGAGATTTAGTTTCTAACATTTACAAGATGGCCACTCGCATCCTTCCCCAGTCTCTCAATTCCCTGCTCCCATCTCGACTTCTCTCTCCAGCCCCGCTACTTCCCAGGGCGATGATGCTCTAGGCCGCGTCGATTCGTCACGGGTGGAAAAGCGGAAGCTCAACACCCTCGCGGCGCGGAGATGTCGGCAGAGACGCGTGGATCGGATGAAGGAGCTTGAAGCCGAGCTGGAGAAAGTCCGGCAGGAAAGAGATGATTGGAGACTTCGGTGTTCGAAGCTGGAAGGCGAAACGGATGCTTTGAAGGGTCTTCTGACTCGCAAGAGCAGGGATACATAGTTTGATACTCGAAAATTGGAGCTGGTCTCTCAAGCAACGAATTCGATTGGTTTTGGATCTGTGTCTACTTGGTTCTATTTATTTTGTCTAAAATGATCTGTTATGAGCACTATTCGTATTGGTGGAGATATGCGTCAGACTTGTCCCTCTACATCGGGCACCTCCGCAGAGTGGCCTAGGTCATATGCATCAAACCCTGTTGCACAGATCGTGGCAAATAATAAGCAGAAGTTTCGCCATTGATTTATTCTCCCAGTTCAGATGAACGACACCTTGTACTTCGCGGGGTTTCGCCGAGAGGGGTTCTTCCTAGTAACTCTGCCTAACCGAGGGTATCACTCATATTGATTTGGGACCTTGGATATGTATTTTATATCTGTGTAACATTTTAATCTCCCAATAAATTACTTCGCCTCACTTTATTTCCATACGCAGACTCCATTATTCGGTCCAATTTACAACACCCCAACAAACTCACCCGTTGACACGAGACCCATCATGAGAGCTGTACGATTCCATGGACGAGGTGATATCCGCATTGACGAGGTCGAAGAACCAGTTTGTGGTAGTGGCCAGGTCAAGGCAAGCTTAGCATTACTAGTAGCTTTCGTAACGTTACTTCCGAGGCTGATTCGCTAACAACGAGCCTTGATGTTAACAGATTCGACCTGCCTTTGTCGGAATATGTGGCAGTGGTAAGTAGCGCGTTTAACAGCCACCGTTAACTAGTTACTTCTAATGCAACCCAGATATTCATGAGTATCTTACTGGCCCATTGATTGTCCCTGTCACCCCGCACCCATTAACCGGAGACAAGCTGCCGACCACCCTGGGCCATGAATTCAGTGGTACAGTCGAAGAGGTTGGCCCAGGCGTTGTAGGGTTCAAGGTTGGGGATCGGGTTGCGGTCAAGCCTAACCTCTTCGACGCTACGTGTTCGAGCTGTTCAATGGGCAGATTCAATTCCTGCGAGAAACAGGGATTCATCGGGTTCAGCAGTAAGCCATGCTATGATCTATAACCATGTCTCGATATTGACGGCCACAAGGTCAGGCAGGTGGCTTATCGGACCACATAGTCGTGGACAGCAGACATGCAATTATGTTGCCCGATTCCATTCCCCTCGATATCGGTGGTAAGAAGAGACTTCTCCGTTTCAAGTTCTGTTCAACTTGTTTCAGCTCTGACGATAGGGTGGTGATACAGCTCTGGTGGAACCTCTTGCCGTCGCATGGCACGCCGTAAGCCGCAGTCCTCTGCAGACAAATGATACAGTACTTGTCGTTGGAGCTGGACCAATCGGACTGGCTATTATTCAGGTATTGAAAGCCAAAGGTATTACATCAATCATTGCCGTGGAGGTTTCTGAGCGGCGACGAGCATTTGCCCTGACCCAGGGCGCCACCGAGGTCCTTGATCCCGTTGATGTGGATGCGGTTACGCAAATACGTGTTTTGACAGGGAATGTGGGTGCAGCTGTTGCATTCGAGTGTTCCGGGGTTCAGGCTGGGCTCGATACTGCGATGGCTGGTCTTCGGGTGCGGGGGACGACGGTCATTGTTTCCATGTGGGAACAGAAGCCTAGTATTGATGCTCTTGCTGTTGTGCTTTATGAGAGGCATATAATAGGGGCTATTGTTTATGATGATGGGGACTTCGAAGCTGTGATTGACGCAATTGCTTCCGGTATGCTTGGCCGCTACCCAATCTATTGTGCTTCCTAATTAGGTAGGTGCCCTCTACTGACCTCTTTCTTCTTTGGTATAGGTAGTATTCAGCCTCACCCGATGATTACTAGTAAGATCCGAATGGAGGATGTGGATGAGAAGGGATTCAAAGCTCTTATCGGGGAGAGGGATAAGCATGTAAAGATCCTGGTTGACATTTCTGCATGAATGCGGTTAGCTCATACTGGTAGCTCTGCGGTGTAATTCAAATTTTAATTTCCATTGCATATATTCGTGGATTAGTCTACATAACTACTCTATGCGCCAAGCTTTATACATGCTAGCCACGCGATATAAAATGGGGATGGTGCGACTAGACCGGGTAACGGCAAGTCGGATCTTGCCTGAGATGCAACTTTTTGGCAGAGTCGATTGGAGCCTTGAACAATAATAGTAATTTATCATAAGCCGAGCCATTGGCATATTTATTGCCATTCATTTTTCATTGGATCTCATCAGATACAATTAGAAATACTATATCTAACCAAGACAATATTTCGAAGAGAATCTTTAAATAGGACTTGAAATCCAACTTTAATTCGCACTGCATTTTAAACCCCCAAGGAGGTTGAATTGGTTACCATGAGAAATCACAGGTGCAATGACCTAGTGGTATGACATATGGTGTATCCTCTAGGCCTTAAACAGCCCCAGTGGCGCTGTCATTCTGAAACTCCCATTGTATTTCTTTTCTTTCTTTACGGAGTACTTTGTTCCACGAAACGTTAGTGCACTTTCGAGACATTTATGTTAAACCTAACTTAACAATTAATCTGGGTCCAAATGTAAAAACCGTAAGCTCAATAACAAATTACTATGATAAACATAGAAACGGTATGCAATATTACAGCGTGGAGTGATCACAGACCCTTGGCGGTATTAGATGGCATTGCTGGCAGTGGGGAAATACTATGTTTTACTTGACGCCTCCCGGCTAAACGTGCGGGCAATGGCTCGATTATAGACCTAGTACTCCGTACTAATAATCAGTATTCGGGACATTGCCTAGATCTCTAATACGGAGTACGGAGTAGTCGGGATGATCCAGGATTGATCGGGAAATGGGTTTGCGGCACAAATACGCCAATGGTGCGAACTAACCTACCTCAGTATCAAGTGTCGATCCCTATAGTTTTTCGTTCTAATTTTACGCGGCACTTACTGCAAGGGTACTCCCCCCCCCCAAAAATTTAGTCGCCGTGCCACGCATCAGGCAGGAAGATCAGAAGATCATAGGGTTCCTGGACATTATTTGATATCAAAGTAGCACGTTGCCAGTGTTCGCATCTGATTGATCCAGTCATTTTCTGGAAAATCACGCCTCAGCCGTGAGCTGAGACATCCATGGATGACACCGCTCATGCCCAATATAATTCATTGGCTCATGCGTGGATCCATAAGGGATGGGGCGGGAGAATTTTTAGATACTTCTTTAGGTATATAACACTTAGGCCTCGCTTTGACAACTCCTTTTTTTTTTAGTTATAATTCCCTTTGTCAATATTCCCTTGTTTTATACCATCCCTATAATTGGAATCGAATATCCAGTACAACTACTCTTTTGACCACGTTTTTTTCCTACTGTGGAACCCTGCCTACGTTATACCCGAGATTCTTGCCTAACAAAAGTGCCGGCATTATGGGTACACCACTTACGGAAACGGTTATTATCACTGGCGGAAATGGGTTATTGGGTTCAGGGATCGCCATCGAAATCGCAAAGAAGCAACCTTTCGTCCATTTATTATTGACGGCACGAGATATAAGGACCGACGATGTCCGCGAACTGATGGGGAAGATCCGCTTGATCGGCCCCAGGTCGATCGAGGTTCTCGCTCTGGATCTGACAGATCTGAAATCTGTGGCATCTTTCGCCAGAACTACCGTCGATCGTGTTCGCTACAGAGACATTCCGCCTGTGACCAGTCTGATTCACTCTGCTGTCGCTACATCTTACGTTATTGATGACCTCACATCAGACGGCTATGACCCTGTGTATCAGACCAATTGTCTATCTCCATTTTTATTGACTATTGGACTGCTCGAGGCTTTCCGGGCTGGAGACGGTACACCAAAAGGCGGAGCTAAGGTGATCAACATCGGCTGTTCTGCGACATCTTCCGGGAGATTGGATTACTTTGACAGCGACAATGGAAGAAATGGAAGGCAACCGGGAACTGCGCTGAGCGCAAAGGAAGAAAATATTCGTTTTGGAAGCAGCAAGTTAATGGGGAGTGTTGCATTATATGCATTGAGGCGGAGCTTGATCTGGGTAAGTTGACATTTCGGATCTCCCGATTTCCAATTTACTAATCAAATCTAAATATAGACCGGGAATATATCGCTTGACGTCTTCACTTTGGATCCAGGAGGCATGACTGGCCCGAGCAACCTGCGGACCGGGGCGCCTATGTCGGTCAGAGTCGCACACCAGACTCGGTCCGGGCTTCGGCCATTCCTGCGCATGGTATCCCGAAGCTCCATGAACAAGGTCAGTGTTCCAGCCAAGGCGATCGCCAGAGTCGCATTCCACGTCGATACGGTGGAGATCTGGCAAAAGGAACGCTACTTTATTCTCGATACCGATTACGAAGCCGCATCCGTCTTGCCGAGCTTGCGCGATGAGGGAAAGGTGAACAAGTTATTACTGCAGATGATGCAAATGATTGAAATGGAAACAAAGGAGATGGATTCTCCTGCTCCTCTTCGACCTCAATTGAGCATGATCTCGCCTCCTACTCTTTCACTGTGAAGGGACAAAATAATCTACATATTTTAGCATTGGGGGAATTCTTTGTATACAAAATTAGCGAATCCAATTGGCCAAAAGCATTTATGATCTTTTATGTATTTTAACCTCAAATTATGTTCTAAAGTACCTATAATCTCATCTACAGGGGGATAGGCATGACTGCAAGCGGATGACCGGATTTGGTGAGAACCACAACAGTGTGAGACCTTGGATCACATCAAGTCTTATCTTCTTTGGCTTCCGATTCTTTTCAATTTCAATCTGTTCTTGAGACTTTCATTTCTTTCATTCTATAACTGGCCTTTTCAAAACAGATCGGCGTTGTCAGGGTCTCCGGCCACTCCAACAGTTCTTGGCCCCTAACATAAGCACCGCGACGGCCTGTGACAGCGCCCGTGATGAACCGCCACGTCCTTGAAAAGGGCCACTCTGCCTACCCCAGGGGGTCTGCGTTTTCAATCTCACCGAACAGGTAAGCCGACCATCCAAGTCCGAGTTAAGCGGCTCGCTCTTTATTGCTCGAGCTTGGAGCCCTGTCATCATCGTGAAGCTTGAAATCAAGACTGACTAGTATGCCTTCGTCCCCAGGTTCCAGCCTCGTTCACAACCTGCCCTCCGGAGACGCCGACAGCTCTTCCAGCGTCTCTGCCTCCTTGGCGGTGTGTCGCTAGTGCTATTCCTCTTGATTTTCCCATCCTGGCGCGCTGCCATCCTCCCCACCATCTCGCTCGGCCTTCTCTCTTACCCCGGAGATCTACACCTACAGACGGTCCGATATTATGATTTATCAGAAGTGCAAGGCACGGAGAAGGGTTGGGAACGCGGAGAGCGTGTCCTGATGTGCACCCCGCTCCGAGATGCCTCGTCGCATCTCCCGATGTTTTTCTCGCACCTTCGAAACCTCACATACCCACACCACCTAATTGATCTGGCATTTTTGGTATCGGACTCTCGGGATGACACCCTAGGCATGCTGTCGCGCATGTTGGAGGATATACAAAATGACCCGGACCCGAAAATGCCCTTTGGCGAGATCTCCGTGATCCAGAAGGATTTTGGGCAGAAAGTCCAACAGGACGTGGAAAGTCGACACGGATTTGAGGCGCAGGCCAACCGACGCAAGCTGATGGCACAGGCTAGGAATTGGTTGCTGAGCGCAACGCTGCGCCCAACTCACAGCTGGGTCTACTGGAGAGATGCGGACGTGGAGACTGCTCCGTTCACAATCATTGAGGATCTAATGCGGCACAACAAGGATGTTACAGTTCCGAGTAAGTGATGGCTGTTGTCTGAGTGTCCGGATCTATACTAATTGGCTTTCTTTGTAGATGTTTGGCGTCCGCTTCCAGACTGGCTTGGCGGAGAGCAGCCTTACGATCTGAACTCCTGGCAAGAATCTGAGACTGCATTGGCGCTTGCGGATACCTTGGATGAGGACGCTGTCATCGTGGAAGGATATGCCGAGTACGCTACATGGAGGCCCCACCTTGCCTACCTCCGCGATCCATACGGCGATCCAGACATGGAGATGGAGCTCGACGGGATCGGAGGTGTCAGTATCCTGGCGAAGGCACGGGTATTCCGTGCTGGTGTGCACTTCCCAGCCTTCAGTTTCGAGAAGCATGCCGAGACGGAAGGGTTTGGCAAGGTAAGACAGTAATCAACGAGATTGGGGTTACAATTGCTAATGTTTCCTAGATGGCTAAGCGGATGAAATTCTCAGTGATTGGGCTGCCACATTACACTATTTGGCATCTATACGAGCCCAGTGTCGATGACCTTCGACACATGGAACAAATGGAGGTGGAGCGACTGGCTCGCGAAAAAGAAGAACAAGAGCGAGCCGAGCAAAAAGATGGCTCCCAGTCCAAGCCCCTGGCTACCGATCAAATTGTGGACGGTGCAGAAGCGCAAGGCTCTACTGAAGGCCCGGCTGGCCAGCCCATGAAAGACGCCGTGGATTCTACTCAGGGTCACTTGAAAGCCCAAGCTGAGACAGTCGACCAAGCTGAGAAAGTTGAAGTCGTCGATAGAGCCAACATATGATTCTTGGCTGGCTTTCCCTCACCGCTTATTTCCTATAAGTGGCCGTTTCTTTGATCCAGCCGGCTGGATTACGCATTGCATTCTCATATGCGACTTGAATGTCTCACCTCCCCCTGTCTGGGAAGACTATTTGTTTGTTTAGACTAGGGCATATTTATGCCCAAGCTCTGCGAGTGTACTCCGTAGCAGCTTTATTTTTCGTTCTTGTTCCGTTCTTGCATATGTTTTTTTATATCTTTGGGGGGCGGGCATTTCTTTTTTCATGGAGTCACAACAAATCATAATGGTTGGCGTGTCATGGAGAGCAATAATTTGGCCATTCAAAAGCAAAACATTGATGATTCTAATTTCAATGTATTCTCCACAAGAA